CAACCTAAAACCATGAGCAAGGACCTATTTCACCAAACTTAGCAAAAGACTCGAATCTAAGGCCTCGTTTGGGAACAGGCTAATTTAGTAACTTTTTGGCTATTTGGCTAAAAAGGTAGGTAAAAAAAACTTGTATGTTTGGAAAGACTTTTTGGCTAATTACGAAAAGATGTGCAAAAAGTAGAGAGAAAAGAGAATCTTTGACTTTTTGGTATGGGTTTTTGGCTTTTTGGCTAATTTAGTAACTTTTTGGCTAATTGGCTAAAATAGCCTCTTGCCAAACGAGGCCTTGGTAATGAATTCGAACCCCTACCACCACCTCTTACAAGCTCCCAACATATTCTCAACCATTATAGTCAACGATAGATCTAGGGGGTTAGGGGCAGCTGAATCTCCAAAAATTTTAAAAATATCATATATTATATTAAAAAATATAAAATAATTTACAATTATAAAAATTCACACTTTCAAATTTTTTGTAAATAATTTCAAAATTATATAGAGTAGCTTTTCACTTTTTTAAACTATAGAGTAAGCCCCAAAGACATAATCTTGAATCCGTTCCTGATTATAGTTATTCTATTTGGTCAAGTACTATAGCAATATGTTGTTGACATGCATAGAAGATTGGTTGCTAGAATAAATAATCAAAGTAAGAGTTGAATTGTACCATGGAATTGTCAAGAGTGCATTAGCTGGGAGAGCAGGGAAAGCTTTGTGAGAAAAATAGTCATATTGTCCGCATACTTTTTAGGAGGCCAACAAAATATGAGTAAAAGATTCTTGTGATGCTATCTCATTAGTTCAATGGTTTGAAAGTCCAAATCTTTTTATTCAATAGTTTGACTAGTTATTACTATATTTTATTAATAAATAGTGATAAAATGTTATGTTTTTATCAATATTGTTTAAATGATGTAAATATTATTTATTTTATTTTTTCTCACAAAATATAATATTGAAATGCTATGTTGGTCCCATTATGAGAGATGTAAAATCACCAAGATTTGTCAAAATTTACCTATAACTTAAATATTGTGTCAAATTTAGCACAAAATATAAATATCGCTAGCCCATATAACTAGTTATTAGAGAAAAAAATTTAAGGTTCCTGCTAGATTTTAACAATAATAACTCACGCAGTTAGTCATTAGAAAAGTCAATCACTATTGAAAACAAAACTTCAAGAGCTCAGATATAAAAAATCAAAGAATCCAGAATTTGAAATAAAGAGTGAAGATTCATAACAACTTTAATTATACACTATTGATTTGATATTCTGAATATTTTGTGAGTTTTTTTCTTGGTCCATAAACTTTTCATATTGAATTGGCCTTGTTTGGTAAGTGACTTTTTTAGTTAAAATATTACTAAAAAAATTAAAAAGCCAACAACTTATACAAAAAAGTCAAAATTTTTCTTTTTCTCTCTATTTTTTGCACATCTTTTCGTAAAAAATCAAAAAGTCATCCAAGTGTTTGGTTTGAGTTTTCTGGATTAAGTTTTTTGAAAATTGAGTTTTTTGGTTTTCGTATTCTTTTGTTTTTAGTGAATATTTTTTAAATTTTAAACATTTTTTTTTTATTTTTTTAGATGCACTTTAGTTATATGTATCTAAAAAGTAAAAAATTTGTGAAAAATATTTTAAAAAATTAATAAATACATAAAAATACAAAAAATGTACTGAATTCTTGTATTTTTTTGTATTTTTGGTATTTAGTGAATTTTTAAAAGATTTTTTTTACAATTTTTTTACTTTTTAGGTGTATTTATGTTAGATGTGTCTAAAAAGTAAAAAAATTACTTAAAATATTAAAAAAATTCAGTAAAAACAAAAAAATACGGAAAATAATAAAGTATAATTTTTTAAAAAGTGTTTCCTGAAAAGAGAAAACAAGCAAGCTGATTAGTTTTTTTTACATCATATTTTAGTAAAAAAATCAAAAAATTACTAAAAAAGTATGTTCCCAAACGATGCAATATGGCATGGGCTTGCTAATAGTTTAATAATTAAAAAAAAAATTAAAAAACAGTTAATGCAAATTCAATATATATATATATATATATTATATTTTAGAACGGACAAAATCAGTTATTGAAGACACCCAAATAGTGAGAGATTCCTAATCTATCTACAATAATGTAATTAGGAAGTTAGATGTTATATGATTGATGTTGTGATAAATAAAGATTAACATATAAACCTAACATGTCAGTACTAGTCAAATTAGTAGAGACATTTTACAAACAAAAACGATAGAGATACAAATTAAATTATCAACTATTTAATCAATCACTTTAATTTGTAACTATAATAAAAAATTTGTTAGGCAGCTCAAACATTTTCAGTTGGTCTAATTATATTTAATCTATTCATGAGGGATATTACTGTAATTTACTTTTATTTTTTGAGAAAATTATAAAAAAAAAAAATGAGTGTTTGACTATTGTAACAAAAAAATCATGAGTTTTAAATTTTGTCAATTTAAACCTTAATAATCTAATTTGTTTTCAATCATTTTCTTATTTTCGTTAAGTAAAACAATGAAAAAAATAAAAATTTATTTATTAAACTAAATGTAAAGTTTGACAATAGGCTATTCTAGCAAAAAATTAAAACAACACTACAAAAAAATCAACTATTCTTTCTACTGTTTGGTACGTCTTTTTGTAAAAAATAAAAATTCAACTAAAATAGTTAGTTCTCAAAATAAAAGTGTAGATAAAATTTCTAAAATACTATTTTTTTTTATTATCAATTTAACATGATGAAAATAGATAGATGATTTATATTGAAAGCAAATAAGAAAATTATAATTTAAATTAAAAAAAATTAAGACTCATAATTTATTTTATTACAAAGGTTAGACATTGGAGTTTCTTTTATTTATTTATTTATAATTTATTCAATTTTTTAGGATAAATTATAAATATACCTCATGAGATTTCTTTAAAATACAAATTGATCTGTGATTTGAAAAATTATAAATTTTCTTTATCAGAATCTTTTATTTAATAGAATTAATTGAAAAAAATCTTAACTGCTATTTTATACAATAATAAAATTACTTAAATTAGTAATTGAAATAAATTTATGAAATTATTAAAATCTATTAATTGACCTGATGATTTATGAACAAAATGGGCTATTTGTTATAAAATTAAAAATTTTAAAGGGTGAGATGTAATTTTCAGAACCATAAAGAACAATTCGTAAGTTCAAGGGGTATATTTGTAATTTAACCTTTTTATAGGCAAATTACACTTTACCCCTTCAATTATCACTGTTTTTCACTTTATCCCTTCAAACTAAAAATTAATACAATGTACTCCTTCACATTCTGAAAGTTTTAGATTGAAAACATTCAGAATATCAAGGAATATATGGTATCAATTTTTAGTTTGAAGGGATAAAGTGAAAAATAGTGATAGTTTACCCCATTTTTTATGGAGAAATATCATATCAGTGGAGTTGTAAAAAAGTAATTACAAATCAGGGTTATTTCGAGTATGATTTATAAATTAATTTTTTTTTGCTTATTACAGAAGTAGAGAACTAATGTGATATAAAAAAGTCAATAAAATAACTTTTTTAGATGTTGCCAAAAGAAAAATCAGTGAAACTTTTAATAAAAGGCGAATTACACCAACAATCCTTGTAATTTGGGATTTGTATAACTTTGGTTTTTGACTTTCAATTGTGATACATTTGACATGAATTTTGAATCTTATTTCAAATAAGGACAATCAAAGATATTTCCTTTGCAAAAGGTTCGCTGTAAGGGAAAAGTCATCATGCAATTTATTTTGTATTTGTTAACTTCTATTAGGAATGGCAATGGGGGGCAATTAAATAAATAAATAAAAGAAAAAAGATTGAACGTATATTTAGTTTTGGTCGTGAATCTTAAAAAAAAAAAAAAAAAGGGAAAATTAGTGGGTACCCATCCCCAACCCATCCCCTGTGGATATTTAAAGAATATCACCTACCCTACCCAATGGATAAGAAAAAGTGGAAAAAAACCCATGTATTTGGGTTGGGTCTCCATGGATACCCACAGGGTAGGTTATCCATTGCCATCCCTAACTTGTATGCGTGCTTGAAATGTAATGGCGTTTTTTTTAATGAATAATATTAAAACTTTATTGATTATAAAGTTATGTTTTGTTTGGTTTTCATAATCTGTTTTCAGAATTTTTTTTAGGAAACTAAAAACTAAATTGGTGAATTTTTTTAAAAAATATTTCATTTTTATATAATTTCATCTTTTGAGAGGGTATAAATAATTTTTTTTGATATTTATTTTCGTTGAATTAGTTTTATTTTTTCAAAAGTCAAACATAGTGACAAATTTGATATTTTTATTAACATAAACAATTAAATAAAAAAATGTAAAATTAAAAACATTTTCTACATCAAACATATCGATTATATATTAAAAACTTAATAACCATCAATTATATAATAATCATTCAAAATATCGGTTAATAACAAATACAACGATCTATTATATGATAACCATCAAAAAATATCAACAAAAACAATCACGGATTATATGATCATCATCTAGACACATACTAAAAATTAATTTGGTAAAAAATAAAATTATAAAAGATTTATCTTTTTATATAATTTTATCTTCAGTGTGTAAAAATAATTTTTAAAAATTCAAAAATAATTTTTTAACATTTATTTTTGTGAAACTATTTTATATTTTTATCAAATTGACGACTTTATCCTTAAAATGGAGCAATAACATTTTCAATTATTATTATTTTAAACGAGATTCAGAATTTAGAATCAAATATGTCACAATTAAAAAGTAACATAAATCCCGTAATTTGACATTTTATAAATATTAATAATTAATGGTAAACTTATGTATTTTTGTAATTTTTTTTTTTGTTTTTTTGTTTTTCTGAAGTCGACTGGGGTATAAATTATAATTACTTTTTATTATTATTTAATTAGCAAAACAAGAAAGAAAGTAAAAAAAACACAGATCACAAATATAACTACTATGGCTGCTTTAGTCAGCACCTCACGTTGATTTCACGTGACGAAGAACCGGAGATTAACACAGGACAGGCCTGATTTGCACTCACACACACACACACACACACACACACACAGAGACGTGTCCTTCGTCTTCATGAGGTGCTTAATCTCTCTCTCTCTCTCTCTCAAGGGTTTCGAGTGCCTGATTCAATTCAATTCAATTCAATTCCCTACCCGCATCCCCTGTGAATTCATTCTTTTCGATCTCTACAAATCCACTTCTACCGAAGATCTGCTAACTTTTCTCTCTTTTTTTTTTTTTTTTTGTAGATATTGATTTGTGAAATTGGATTTGGAATTTGAGACATTGGAACGTTGAATTCGAATGCGAGGAGCCAACTGTGTTTGAGGATCTGAAGATTACGTATTTTGGTTTTGTTTTAATGAGAGATTGATCTTGCTTCGTGTGTTGTGGCCATGGATGTGGATTTCAATGGGGATGTGGCGTGTTTCGACGCCGAAATGTTGCAGCTTGCGGAGGTCTCTCCTTTGGCTCTCAAATCAAACCCTTATGTCGCCGAGAAGCTTTTTGATCAATGGCTTTCTCTTCCCGAGACTGCTTCGCTGGTAAATTTAATTATTTTCTATCACTTTTGAGCTACTGACGAATTGAATTATGTGTTTTGTGTTGGGTTGGGTTGGGTTGTGCTTCGATTTTTATTCACTGGCTTGGTTTGTTTGCCATTATCCCTAATAATGCATTGTAATTTAGAATGTTAGATTTCTTAGGCAATGATGTGCCGCTTTCTGTCCAGTGTCCACCCTTTAAAGAAAAAATGAAGATGGAAACATATGTCACTGCAAGTTTGATGATTGGGAGTGTGCGCCTAAAAACTCTAGGACAGACCTTACTCTGGAAGCTTATAATTATGGTAGCTGTGCTGCTCTTGAAGTTCATGTTTGTAAGTTCTTATGATATAATAAGACATAACATGTTCATATCTCAATATGAGAGAACTGGAGGGTGCCAGGGAGTGTATGCTACCTATACCATAGAAAGGTCCCGATTCGATGATCTGAACCTTTTAATTTTTAGGACTCGCAGACTAGAATATTTATGCAAAAAATAAAGATGGTCGGACATCGACAGTTATATGTTTGAATCAAATTTGTATTACAAAAAATGGATGATTATTCTTGAAATTATATTTGTTGTCTATTTTTTTAAAATAAATATGATTCAAACATATAGCTACCGATGTCCAATCATCTTGATTTTTTACATGAATATTCCATTTGACGAGTTCAAAAAAATGAAACGCTCGGATCACCGGAATTGATTCCAAAATGTGCCTATGAAGTCCAAATACTCTCTCAAGTTGAGATGACAACTTGAGAGAAGCTAAACCCATCATTTTTATAGTTGTTATGAGAGTTCGATTGTTATTTAAGTAAGTGAACTTTTCTGTTGCGGGGCTATTAGTGAAGGAAAGGGGATTTTTTTTTTAGCTGGATAAAACAGAAATAATAAGAAAGAAAAATAAATCCATGGTCTAGGAAGGTGTATAAGTTCCTTTATAGCATGGCAAGAAGAAGTGTTCCTCTTCCAAATCTAACCGTCACCAAACAAGGTGTTGTACTATTCAACTTTATACAAATGTGATGGAAATGCTTATGGCAGCTCTATTTATGAGCAGAACAATACCTTTCCTTACTTTTCAATTGATACAAATTCTGACGCCTATTTGGCTCGAGACCTTCCTGAGCATTTCAGCATGAGGATCGAAATAAAACAAATATATTAGTGATCCCTATAAATACCATGGATACACGGTTTTCGACTGGCCTATGAACATTTACATTGGAGTAGCTACCGTCGAAGTTCAACTTTAAACTAATAGTGAGAGAAAGAATTTAACAACCTTGAATCCAAAATTTATTGATCTTGAAGATGCTTTAGCTTTCCAACCCCAAGGGGTTGGCTTGGTGGTAAGGCCTTGGATTTTGGGGGTGTGCTCCCTCCAAGGTTCAGGGATTGAAATTGAAACCTCTTAGGTGCTAACAATTCTCTGGGGCCATCAGACTGGGGAAAACACTTGAATTAACCGTTGTGCACTTACGGTAAACTCCTTGTCGAGGGCCTGTGCATCCGAAGGGATTAGTCAGGCTTTGATCCGGACACCCCAGTACCAATCAAAAAAAGAAAAAGAAAAAGATGCTTCAGCTTTCCAATGTTAAGTAGCACCAGGAAGGAATTGGTGTTTTAACTTGGGAGTTGGGACAAATGAAAGGGCACCGTGGGGGCAAGTCACTTGACTTAATAACAAAATAACTCACGGTGGGTCTTATTGATAACCTACAAAACAGCCAAGAAAGCAATTGGATACCACATCTTTTGCCACACTTACAAAAATTGTGTAATGAAGAAGCTTAGAGGCAAAGCTAAATCCGTAGCTCGACCAAACACATGCCATACATTACAAAGGACAAGCAAGTTCGTTATGAAGGACACACATGGCTGAACTAGTGAAATTGTTGATTGACTGTCCAATTAAGGACATTAACTATTTTGACCAGGGTTGGAGAAGACGTATGACGTATCAATGGTAGAATACCATAAGATCAGGTGGCCATTTTTTTTTTACTAGTTGAAAGAAATGTGTAGGTGTCACGTGCCTCATTAGACTCCAAATTGTGCCAAAGTGACAGTCACAAAGGTCAGGATTGACATTAGCGTTCCAATTGCAACTCAATTGAGAAGGAAACAAACCTTATTGATAAATGATGAATGGAGCTGAGGACTCCTAGGAGGAGGGATTTGGGGATTCATATTCCCTATATAAAGCATGCTAAAATTTAGTTTTTGATTGGGTCTAAATAACGATATGACTAAAGGGTGGACCTTGGAGGTGAATCTCAATGTGCACGAGGTTGTTTTTGTCAATTAGGTTGGAATCCTCTTTGGCAGTCCTTTGTACTATGAGCTACCCAAGGCCACTACCTGCCAAGTACTAGAGTATGCCCTTTTCCTCTCCCAAGTCCCCCCTCTGTGTCAACAGTGTTGTAAATTTTTTAAATACCCATCCTAGTAATCGTGTGATCCTTTGTAATTTTTTTTCCTCCAGTTTTCATAGATTTGGTTATTTATAGGCTTTATATAAGCCTACTAGAAACATTGTAAGCCTCAAGCCAAACATGCGGAATGGTGGTGATGAGTTGTTGAGTTGTTGATGTATGTAGGGATTCGGGAATGTCGCCTAAAAACTCGCCGGAAACTTTAAAGGCTTGCCAAAAAGTTCGAAGATCCACTGGAAAGTTTGAATTTTCTAGAAATAATGAGAGAGGCTTAGATTCTTCACCGGTAGCAACTATAAACACAACAGGAAAGAGATGATGGAGATAAGAGCATGTTTGATACGATGGAATGAAATGAAGTGGGAATGGAATGAGAGTTAGAATAGAATACAAGGTTGAATGGAATGGAATGTTCATTTCCATTCTATTGTTTGGTTACCAACATGGAATGACATAGTAATAGTGGGATAATTTTCGTTCTCATGTTTGGTTATGCTTATTAAACTCATGGAATGGAATAAATTTTTTTTTTTTATTATTATTATTTTTTTTGGACAAGCTAGTAATAAATAAATTACAAATTTATATAGATCACGATAATGTTGATAGTTGTGGAAGCGATGGTGTGAGTCGTGGGTGGTAGTGGTGGTGATAGAAATAATAGTAGGGTGGTGGTAGGTTGTTGTGGCTTTGTATTGTGGTTGCGATAATGGTGGTAGCGACGGCTGCCAATAGTAATAGAGTGGTGGTTCTCGCGATGGTGATGGTGGTGGTGTGATGTTTATAAAAGTAGTAGTAGTAGTGGTAAGGTAGTGGTTGTGGTGTAGAGGCAAGTGGGTGCGGTGGTAGCAATTAAGGTAGTGGTTCTAACGATGGTGACAGTGGTGGTTTTATGGTTGTGGATGTGGTGGTAGTGGTTGTGGCAGTAGTGGTGACATCAATAGTACAGTGGTGGTAGTATGGTGGTATGGTGGTTATGGCTACGACCGTGGTGGTGGTGGTTGTGGTGGCAGTGGCGGTAAGGTGGTGGAATGGGTGGTAGGAGAAGGGAATGGTGGTGGTATCTAAATGATGTTATTTTTTGTAAGTGCCAACAAAAAAAATAAAAATAAAATTTAATGGTGATTCTATGATAGAATGGAATTGCCATTCCTTAGATTGGAGGAAGGAATAGACATTCTCATATTACACAACAGGAAAGAGATGATGGAGATAAGAGCATGTTTGATACGATGGAATGAAATGAAGTGGGAATGGAATGAGAGTTAGAATAGAATACAAGGTTGAATGGAATGGAATGTTCATTTCCATTCTATTGTTTGGTTACCAACATGGAATGACATAGTAATAGTGGGATAATTTTCGTTCTCATGTTTGGTTATGCTTATTAAACTCATGGAATGGAATAAATTTTTTATTATTATTATTATTATTTTTTTTTTTGGACAAGCTAGTAATAAATAAATTAAAAATTTATATAGATCACGATAATGTTGATAGTTGTGGAAGCGATGGTGTGAGTCGTGGGTGGTAGTGGTGGTGATAGAAATAATAGTAGGATGGTGGTAGGTTGTTGTGGCTTTGTATTGTGGTTGCGATAATGGTGGTAGCGACGGTTGCCAATAGTAATAGAGTGGTGGTTCTCGCGATGGTGATGGTGGTGGTGTGATGTTTATAAAAGTAGTAGTAGTAGTGGTAAGGTAGTGGTTGTGGTGTAGAGGCAAGTGGGAGCGGTGGTAGCAATTAAGGTAGTGGTTCTAACGATGGTGACAGTGGTGGTTTTATGGTTGTGGATGTGGTGGTAGTGGTTGTGGCAGTAGTGGTGACATCAATAGTACAGTGGTGGTAGTATGGTGGTATGGTGGTTATGGCTACGACCGTGGTGGTGGTGGTTGTGGTGGCAGTGGCTGTAAGGTGGTGGAATGGGTGGTAGGAGAAGGGAATGGTGGTGGTATCTAAATGATAATATTTTTTGTAAGTGCCAACAAAAAAAATAAAAATAAAATTTAATGGTGATTCTATGATAGAATGGAATTGCCATTCCTTAGATTGGAGGAAGGAATAGACATTCTCATATTTTGTTGGAATAGCTATTCCAATGGGATGACTATTCCCACTTAGATAAGGTGTACCAAATAAGAGAAAGGGAATGCAAAGCTAGAATGGGCATTTCATTCCCGTCCATTCCATTGTATCAAACGTGCTCTAAGAGATTGGGTGAAGAAGAAGGCAAAGTAATTAGAGAAAGAACAATGACAAGGCTCTCCCATGGATCTCCCATTTTCACACTCAAGGAAATAATGGAGAGTGGAGATTAGTAATCTCCAAGAATATTATCTCCAAAAATCATCCTTGTAAAACTATGGGTGAGTGCAATTTATAGGACTTCATGAAATAAGATGGAGTCCATGTGCAAAGCACATGAGGAATATTTTCTCTAGCCACTTTGTCCGAGGAGGTGACCTCTTCAAGGATGAGAAAAATCCGGAAGATGAGATCAACCTCTTGGTGAATTCTTCTTCTTAGCCACACCGAACCAATGATCCCTAATCATCCCAAAGAGTCAAGGGTAGTTAAGAGAACGCCTTGCCGCGAACACCTCGACTCGAGTATAAGCTAGTTTAACTGCCAAATACTCAGATCTCTAGGTTTGCTCAAAATCCTTTTGAGTCCGAGCTCAAATAGGTCTCAAGGTTCGTGGATCCGAACCCTTCGAGATTAGAGCAGTCTGGCCCATTCGATAATGATATCTCCAGGCCCACTAATTTTGGGCTTTTAGACTAGGCTCCAATTGGGCTTAATCAATTAGATGGGCTTGAGTTAACTCATTTTACAATTGACAAGCTATGTTGCTGCAACGATTCTGGTGATGATGGTTGTAGAAACTTAGTATTGGTGTGGTGATGTATCATAATTGTGGAGCTGGTCAAATCATCAAGATTGGTGCCATCTTGGTATAGTGGTAGGGGAATCTGGATTTGGTGATGATAATATTTATTTAAACTTGTGAAATGAAAAAAATGGCAATGTATTTTTAGAGGTGGCATTGGTGCTATGACTGGATTGCTTGTGGTTTTGGGCACTAGAAATATGGACTAACAACAGAGTGCTGGGAACTAAGTATCTTTTCATTTTCTTCTTCTTGTTGGTTCAGTAGACACAAGGGAGAGTTTACAAGGCTTCATTTGATACCATGCCAGCTTGTAGATATATCAATGTAAATGGAAATCTCTAGAAATCAGCCAATAATTTAATTCCAATTAATGATTTCGTGAATGGACAAATTTGCTCAGTTGCTGCAAAAATGTTAAATTGCACTCTCTCATGTGTTATATCTTATACGGTTTTCAATCTTCACCATTCATATTTCCTTTTAGATTAGGAACATTTTGAGCTTGCCATTGATCTAAAACTGTTTTGTATTTTCTGATTTCACATTTTGCAATGGTAAGGCTTATACTTTGTATGTTGTCTCTAGCATTTTTCCTCCTTTTGCCTTCTCTCTTTCTTGGGCAACATTTGGGAAGCAATCTTTTTCAAAAGTTACCTTCTGTGAGTGCAGGTGAAATCATTGCTTAGCAATGCAAAGGCAGGTGTTCCATTGAATGTCACCGGAACATCTAGCCCAAAAGCTGCTTCAAGTAATTCATTGCCCTCAATGTTTCCTGCTGGCAGTGCGCCTCCACTTTCACCAAGAAGTTCATCTGGTTCTCCTCGTGTTGTGAAACAGCGAGTGGGCCCATCTACTTTAGGTTCTCCTTTAAAATTAGTGAGTGAGCCGGTAAAAGAATTGATACCTCAGGTTAGCTAGTTTCTGATGTTTTTCTTCACGTCTGCTAGAAACGTTTCCACTAGTTTGTCACTTTTATAGTGCCATTTCTGTTTGTTGCTAGCTTCTAAACATGATGTTATTTTGGGGGGTTGTTATGACTGGGATGTTTGCAACTCTTTCAGTTCTATTTTCAAAATGGTTGTCCACCTCCAAATGAACTAAAAGAACGGTGTTTGTTCAGAATCAATCAGTTTTTCTATGGTCACTTGGATGGACTACAAATCCATGGTGAGATATGCATAAAATATCATTGTCTGTATGATAGTCCTGGACATGATTTGCTTCTTTTATATTTTTTGGTATGCCAATATCTATCAATCTGTATACCTATTTTTTTGGGATGTCAGAATTTAAGCTGATTACGAAGGAAATCTGCAAGCTCCCATCATTCTTCTCTACTGCACTATTTAGAAAGATTGACGTTGATTGCACAGGGATGGTAACTAGGTATGCTGTGCCTTTTGTTTTCAATTATCATACTACTCTCTCAATGTGATTTATTTTGTACATTTGATATGGTTGAACTCACGCATCATCGTGTTTTTATTTATCTTGATATTGGTCTTTTGAATGTTGTAACCCTTTTAGAAAATCACAGATATGATGGGATGTGGATACATTGAAGACAACAATTTTTGAAAAATCAAGAGGACATGTTGGGGATTCAACGCTAAGTGTGTGTATATATATATGTATTTACATTCATGTATTTTTTGTAATTAATAAATAAGATATATATACATGTATTTTTTGGTAAGGAAATAGGATAAATATATTATATACAAGGGCTGGTTTAGTGGTTAAAACTTTGCCTACTAACCTTGAGGTTGTGGGTTTGAACAGGGCAGCCATTTTGTACAAGTTATGCCAAATGTTAGGATTGTACCCAATTTACCCCTCGTAGACCCCCCATCAAATGGGGACAAAACTGATTGTAGTGCTTATATACATGTATAAATATAAGGCACCAAAGGGGGCGCAACCTCTCTGTACACTAGGAAGGAGCAAAGTCAAGATAAAAAAGTATCAACACAATTAAGCTCTCTTGTAAAATCTACGAGACAGAAGAAGATTCTCAAAACTTCCCTTTGAGCCAAAAATGAAGATACTACCTTTGTCTTAAATTGTTTGTCTGGCACGAAAATCAAGAACTTAAAATAATGCATTCATGTACCAAAATTATTATTTTTTTCACAAATTGAAAGTACTTTGAAGAGATCTTTTAATTGGTAAATTTTTTAATGAGAATACATTATTTTGAAGTCTGGTTTTCTGTGCCGAACAAACATTTTTTCCCCCACTTGAATTTCTCCTCGTCCTTAATATCTACTCTTAGTGCCAAAAGGAGTTGACTATCCATGTGCTTCTGAGCTAATTGTCATCTCTTGCACATGTTACTAATCCTCTATGTAGGGTTCGTTTGGGATGTGGGTTGGTTTTTTGATTTTTTGGCTATTTTAACCTGAAGCTAAAAAACCTCGTTTGGGATAGATTTTTTGATTTTTTGGTTTTTGGATTTTTTGACTTTTGTGAGAGAAAAAATGAAATGATTATAGTTTGGATGTGTCATTTTGTCTTATTGGGCTAAAAAGCCTATTTTGTCTTTTTGTGGCTATTTTAGCCAAAAAACCCCATTTTAGCTTGTGCCAAACGAAGGCGTAATGTGTCTCCCGTTGTTATTCCTTTTAAGGGTACTTAGGATGTTGATGATTTTAGTCTTCCTATTGCTCTTAGAAAGGAAGTTAGGACTTGACATTTTATATCTAAGTTTATTTCGCATGATTCCCTATTTCCTTCACTCTCTCTTCATTCTTTCTTTCTTTCTTTTTTTTTCTTTCTCCACACAACACCCACTCGGTATAAAATGAAAGAACAAATCTCAGTATGACCCATGGAATACCAAAATAGATAATTGCAAACATGAATAAAAGTAGTTTAGTAGGGCTGAATGTTTCACAGGATTGATTGTGTAGGTTAGTTGGATTGTTTCATTGAATCTTTGCCTTTGAGATATTTAAGCCTTTCTATGGGGTGCAATCCTAGGGTCAAAAAGTTTTTGGATTTGTGATTGAGAAAATTGTCAAGAGGTTAGAAGGGTGGAAACAAGCCTTAATTATTGAAAGGGGAAGATTTACTTTGATTCAATCGGTCTTGCCAAGCATTCCTATTTACTATCTCTCCTTGTTTAGAGTCTTGATGAGTGGGACAAACAAAATTGAAAAAATGTTGAGGGATTTCTCATGAGGGTAACTATTTAGTTTGTTGGGATGTAGCTTCTTGGTGTAGAACGTATTAAGGGGAAGAGAGAAAACACAAAAGAGGTCATTGCCTAAACTCTTACAATATCGAGACCTATTATTTGTAGGCTAATAACCTTAATCAATATAGGAAACTAAAGCCCTAAACCAAACCAAACCAAACCAAGCCTTGTGTCTCACTCAAGTGGGGTTGGCTACATAAATCCTTTTTCACTATTCTGCTTTGTCAAGAGTTATATGCTCAGTTAAATTAAATAACTTCATATATTTTTTTACCACTATATTTCATGTTAGTTTAGGTGCTTTCCTTTCCCCTAATATTTCCATTTATGGTGATTATATCATCCTTCCTTACCGTTGTATCTATAAGATTTCGTTGTACATGACCAAACCATCTTAGCCAATTTTTTCTCAATTTCTCTTCAATTGGTGTTACTTTTACAATTTAACAAATATATTCATTTCTAATTATATCTTTTGTAGTCGTACCACACATCTAAGCATTCTTATCTCAGTTACACTCATTTTATGAATGTATTATTTCTTAGCTGCCCAATATTTTGTCCCACAAGGCCTAATATTTGGAAACATAATCAAAATAACCTACCTAATAATTTTGAAATTCTAACTAAAATACTAATAATAATATACCAATTACACTTATTGGACCAAAAAGTATTTGGTCCATGCAATGGACCATTGGTTTCCTCCAGGCTTTCAAAGCAGATAATGGACCTCCAGCCAATCAAGTGCTGCGCCAAAGTGAGTTTTTTTGATATGTAGATAATTGTAGTTTACTACGATATTAGATGTCTTCTTTTTAACGTAGTCCATCATCTGCTTAAAATTTCTTGCCTTGGAATTCAGAATTCATTTATGTCATGGTGACTATCAAAATTCATTTTCATTTTTAATATTTTCTATTTTGGGTATTGTTACGGCCTGGGGCACTACAGAATATAGAGCTCAATTGATACTTATGGAACATGATAAGATGTTCTTGGAATAGAAAGTACTATTTGAGGTTGGAGTATTGATTTGCCCAGTATTTTAATTAAAAAATGTTGATATGTGATGCCATCTCTAGTTGGATGTATTTTTTTCTGATTTGTTTACTCTTGTGCCTTTAGGGATTCTTTTGCTGATTATTGGGTCAATGGCAACATGTTGACAAAGGATATAGCAAACCAAATATTTACAATCTTAAAGCAGCCAGATCTCAAATACGTCACTCAGGTGGTTTTTATTTTTCATTTTTAACTTTTCGTGTCTTCATTATATATGTATTTGAATTTGTCTTGTTAGAGGTTATAATGGCAGCAGAGAAGATACAAAGCTTTTTGGTGTGTGGATGTTAATCCCTTGAATCGTTATCAAACATACTGTAGGATGACTTTAAACCTGTGCTTCGAGAACTTTTGGCTACTCATCCAGGGTTGGAGTTCTTACAGAGTACACCTGAATTTCAAGAAAGATATGGTATGTTACCAATCAGTTTATAAGTTTTGATTGTCGCTTCATTTTCTCGTGATTTTGTTTGCTTGGCTAGAAATCAGTCTTGTTCATGCACTCTTTACTTCTTATGCATGCATGACTGTATTTGAAAGATCTATCTATATCTTTGAAATTTTTTGTTGGTCTCTTGTTGTAGAAACAGATATTATTTTACATATACACGTCTTTGATTTTTTCATTAGAGGATTCCTATCTGTTGCAAGTTGCAACATAAAAAGTTCAATATCTTAGTATGAAAAAGAAAAAATTCCATAACTTAGTAGCCAAATGGTTTGTAGAATCTAATAAGTTTGCTGAATTGTAACAATTTTTATATGTTCTAAATGAAGGGGCAAGTGTGGATATGGGCCCGATGGCGTGCACAACCCACTATGATGTATACGAGTTGGGATTAAATTTTAGGAGGTGCTTAAGTTTCTTGGGAGGTGGTTAAGGGAGATCTGATGAAAGTTTTTGAGAATTTTTTAGAGGATATTGTTAATGGTTTCAGGGCATATAGCTCTTGACAGAACATAATGGTGTAAAATGATTCATATAGCCAACCCCACTTACGTAGGACACAAGGCTTAGTTTGGTTTGGTATTGTTAATGGTTGTACCAATTCTTCTTTTATTTGTTTGATTCCTAAGAAGGAGAATCCTTTGAAAATTGGGGATTTGTACCTAATAGTTTGGTTCATTGTATAAAATTTTGATAAGTTTTGTCTAGGAGATTGAGAACGATATTGGGTGATACTATTTTTCTTGCTTAGGGAGCTTTTGTTGAGGGCCACAACTTTTTGGATGTTGTTTTAATTGGTAATGAGGCAGTAGAGAAATATAGAAATCACAGAAGGGAATGGATTATTTTTAGGTTGATTGAGAAAGGCTATGATCATATGGATTGGGGATTTTTGGATTTTTTTTTTAGGAAAAGAAAGGGTTTGGGGAGAGGTGGAGGAAGTGGATACATGTTTGTCTCGCTCGTTCTGATCTTTTGGTTGTTGTTAAAGGAAAAGGCTGGAGATATGTTTAGAGCTTCTATTTGTTTTCATATATATATATATATATATGTAACTTTTTGTGGTCGATGTTCAGAGTATAATTGTGTGATAGAGCAAATGAGAGGGTGTATTGGATGGTTTTACTTTTTGCAAATAACACCATTTTTCTCTTCTAGTGAAAAGAGAAATTGATTAATCTGCTTTCCTTTCTTAGGGTGTTTAAAATGGTCTTAGAGCAACCAACGGGGCTAGCCCAATTGGCCAGAACTCCTGCACCTCACTAAGAGGTCAGTGGTTTGAATCTCCCACCTGTTGTGGGTTTTATTCCTGTGTATTAATTGGGGCATTTCTCTCCTACTTTGGGAGTTTCTTTGTATTAGTTATATATATTGTATTTGATATTTATCATGATTGTAATTCATTGTAATATCATATATGAATCAAATAAAAAGAAAAGAAAAGAAATGGTCTTAGATCTTTTATGTATTTGGGATGAGAGGGTGGTTTTTGAGTGTGACTCATTAGTTGGAGACTTTTCATTATCTGTTAGGTTCAGGAATCAAGATAATAGTGAGTGGCGGTTGTCAGGGGTATATGGCCCAAATTGTCTCGCTAAGAGACAGGCTTTGTGGGAGGAGTTAGGCGGGTTGTATGGATTATGCTATCCCAACTGGTGTTTAGGGGGGAATTTCAATGTGGTTAGAAAGGTTTCAGAGAAGCTTAATGGGGGTGGAATCAATAGGAGTATGAGAGATTTTGATGGGTTCATTAGAGGATGTGAGTTGGTGGATCCTCCTTTATTTAATGCAAGATTTATATGGTCTAATCTTAGGGAAAGCAGGGTATGTTTTAGACTGGTTAGATTTTTATTTTCTTTGAGTTGGGAGGGGGTTTTCCTCAATGTGAGATAGGAGGCGTTTCCAAGATTGGTGTCCGATCATTGTCCCATTATGATCGAGAGTTGTCCTTTTAGGTGAGATCCGGCCCCATTTAGGTTTGAGAATATGTGGTTGGATCATCATTTATTTAAGGAGATCTTTGCGGGTTGGTGGAATAATGCTAGATGTCGTGGGTGGGAGGGTTTTAAATCCATGAGAAAGTTGAAGGTCATTAAAGAGCGAGTGAAACTTTGGAATAGGGAGGTGTTTGGAAATTTGGAATAATCTAAACTTCAAGTTATGGGTAGAATGGAGGAGATAGATTCTTTGGAGATGCTAGGGAAATGAGGTTGAGGATTTGAGGAGAGAGGAGGGAGCTAGGCGTGAAGTTGGAAGAGTTGACTCTTAAAGAGCAGATTTTTTAGGCACAAAAAGCAAAGGTGAGGTGGTTAAAGGAGGGGAATATTAGTTCAAAATTCTTTCAAAGGGTTACGGATGGAAAAAGGAAGAAAAAGTTCATTAAGAGGTTGGAAGTAAGGCCAGGGGTAGTGGTGGACTTAGAGGAGCAACTAGTCCTAGAGATTTTTTATTTTTACTCAAAATTGTTTTCGAAGGATGAGATAGTCAGGCCTGAGATAGAAGGGATTGAGTGGAGGCCTATTGATCAGGAAAGTGCCATCTGGTTAGAGAGGCCTTTTGAGGAGTTGGAGATTAAGGATGCAGTTTTTGAGTGGAAAGGGACAAGGCTCCAAGCCTTGACAGGTTTTCAATGGCAGTTTTTCAAGATTGTTGGGAGGTGGTGAAGGGGGATTTGGTGTAGGTTTTCATGGAGTTTTATGAGACAAGGGTGGTTAATTTATGTGTTAATGCCACATTTATTATCGATTTGATTCCTAAGAGGGATGGAGCCATCCAATTGGTGATTTTAGATCAATTAGTTTGGTGACATCACTCTACAAGATTTTGGGGAAGGCTTTGTCAAAAAGGTTGAGGGGGCTTCTTTAGGGGATACAATCTCTTCGACTCAAGGGGTTTTTGTGCAAGGTAGACAGATTCTAGATGTGGTTCTGGTGGTGAATGAGGTGGTTGAGTGTAAAAGTCTGAAAAGAGAGGCCTTATGTTTAAGGCAGATTTTGAGAAAGCGTATGATTATGTAGATTGGTATTTTTTGGATTTTGTGATGGATAGGAAAGGGTATGGTGAGAGATGGAGGTCCTGGATTAGGGGATGTTTGGTGTCTTGCAATATGTCGATGATAGTCAATGGTAAACCAGGGCAAACTTTTAAGGCATCTCAAGGGTTGAGACAGGGCGATCCTTTATCTCCTTTTCTCTTCATCATGGCGGCGGACGTGTTAGGCAGGATGGTGGAGAGGGCTAAAGAGGTTGGTCTGTTTGAAGGCTTAGGGGTCGGTAGAGATAAGATTAGTGTGACACATTTGCAGTTTGCGGATGACACTATTTTATTCTCTGAGGGGGACGAGAGCCAAATGGTGAATCTCTTTTCAATGGTTAGGCTTTTTGGGGTACTCTCTGGTCTCAGGGTAAATTTAGAGAAGAGTAGAGTTGCGGTTATTAATGTTGATTCAAGTTTGATTCAAAGAGTGGTTGAGTTACTTGGGTGTGGTATAGAGACATTTTCGATGAAGTATTTGGGGATTCCGCGGGGAGGTAACCCAAGGGGTGAATTGTTTTGGAATCCGGTTGTGGAAAAGATAGGAAAGAGGTTAGATGGGTGGAGTAGGGCTTTACTATCCCGTGGGGGTAGGTACACTCTGGTTAAGACAGTGCTAAGTGGAATTCCAATTTATTTCATGTCTGTGTTTAAGATTTCAATCAATGTAGCAAAATCTATTGAAAAGTTAATGAGGGATTTTCTATGGGAAGGGAAAGATGAGAGAAGGAAGGATCATTTGGTGAACTGGGAAACAGTGTCCTTATCTAAGGAGAAGGGGGGGTTTGGCCATTGGTAATATAATGGCTAGAAACATGGCTCTGCTGGGCAAGTGGTTTTGGCGATTCCCCAATGAGTGTGGTTCACATTATGGCATGCGGTTATCAAAAGTAAATATGGGATTCAGGTTAATGATAGGGACTCTCAGGTGGTATGGAGGGGTAGCGGGCGTGCTCCTTGGAAGTCCATTTCTCAGATTTATCCAGTTGGGTTCCGATTCATTTCTGTGAGCGTGGGTAATGGGGAAATTGTCAAATTTTGGGAGGATTTTTGGGTGGGCTCGACGTCTTTGGTTGAGTTCTATCCACTTCTGTATGCTGTTTCTCAGTCTCATAATTGTTCTGTTGCGTTTGTGGGGGTTCTTTGGTGGTTCCTTTATCTTGGAATTTTAATTTCCGTCGGAATCTTGATGACAGGGAAGTTCCGGAATTGATTTCTCTTTTGTCAAGGCTCGAAAATATTTCTCTATCTCCAATGTTGAAGGATGTGTTGGTTTGGAATATTCATTTGTCGGATTCTTTTACTTGATAAAATCATTGATACTTCTCAAGTTCCTTAGTTTCTATTTCATAACAAGATTTGGAAGGCGTGTGCTTCTCTCAAGGTGCAAGTGTTCATGTGGATCTTGGTTCATGGGGGCACTTTGACAAATGATTTATTGCAAAAGAAGAGACCTTCGCGATATCTTAATCCTCAATGGTGCATCATGTGTTGTAAAAGTAGAGAATCTCCGGATCATCTCTTTTTTCATTGCTTGGTGGCTAGGTGGTTATGGCATAGGGTGTTTGGATTGGGTAGTGTGATGTGGATGGCTCCAAAAGGATGTGCTCAAATGTTATTATTTGATTTTAAGTTTTTGGAAGGTTGAAGAGGGTTAAAGTACTTTGTAGTGGTGTCGTCTTTGCAATTTTCTGGGTTGTTTGGTTAGAAAGAAATGCCCGTGTTTTCGAAGGAGTTGCCCGGGATATAGACTACTTATGGGATAGGGTGAGATACTTGGCGTTTTCTTAGGCCTCGGCGAGCTCAGTATTCCGAGGAATTCCGCTTTTTTTGCTTGCTACCGATTGGGTGTCAGTTTGTTTAGTGTAGTAGTTTTTTGAGTTTGGTATTTTTGTATTTTCTTTTTTCTCTTTTTGGTTTTTTTCATTTCTCTTGTAAGAGGATGCCTTATCGTCTTTTTTCTTGGCCTTGAGCCTTAATAAATCTTTGTTTGCTGCTAATCAAAAAAAAAAATAAATAAATCTTGCCATATGCAAAAGAGTGCTATTGCAGGAATTAATTTTCTGCAAGATAGGTGGGAAAGATAAGCACGTTTTTGTTGGCTTGTTCCATTGAAACTTTACCAATGAAGTATCTTAGGCTTCCTCTAGGAGGGAATGGAATTGAAACTTTACCTTGGTCCAGTCAGTCTTGTCTAGTAGTCCTATGTACTAATTGTCCTTGTTTAGAGGCCATATGAGTTGCTAGGAAGATGGAGAAAATGATGAGTTAATTTTTGTGGGAACCATTTGATTAGTTCGGTAATACTGTTGAAAATAATATTGCATTGCTTGGTAAATGGTTATGGAGGTTCTCATGGGAACATAATTCTTTATGGTATGCAGTTATCATAAGTAAACATGGGTACTTTTGCTCTCCATGGCAGTTTATTTATTAGGTCTCATCATGTTCTTCCCAGTTTACTTGTCTTATTGTGGGTAGTGGGGTGAATATTCGGTTTGGGGAGAGTTCTTGGAGGGGGAATTTTTGCTACTTTATTTCCAGTGTTGTATCAGTTATCTCAAGCTCATAATGTTTCCATTGCTTGCATCCCCCCTTGGCCTCAACCCTTGGGCAACTCTCAGTCACTTCATTGCATTTAAGTAGAGCATCTATAAGGTGAAAAAAATTTGGTTGAAAATAGATACTGGTTGAAAGCATCAAAACACAACATAATGGTGGTTCGAATTTGTCTTTGGAGGTGGTGTCTTCCTGCGTTTCAATGTCCGTATCTATTTCATGGCTCAAGTCTAACAGCAGATGAAGAACAAGTAGTGTATGGTTAAGAAATAGAGAGAGGAAAGGAAAAGGAGGAAAAGAAGAGGGTGATGTGTTAATGACATCAGTAATCATGGTCGGTTTAGAGAGAGAGGGGAAGGGAGGAAGAATGAGATTAATTAATTTGTGAAAGGACAAATTTGGTCTGTTGATAATTTTAAATGTAGATATCAACATTGTCTGCCAATTCTATTGACTGCTCAATAAGTAGTCCCCCCCGTATATAGATAAAGTAAGGGAGGACAATGTAATCTCATATTTCACCAGGGAGGTCCTTTTAATTGTTAGAAATCTTGGAGGAAGGTCAATCTAAGTTACCTTTTTTTATTATTTATTTGTTTATTATTGCAGCACCCCTACCATGAAGAATATTACACTTTCAGGTGATATTTCTGAAATTATCTCCTTAAGTTGCCTTGAATTCCCCATTGACTATGCATCTGCTCCTTTTGCTTTTGATAATTAATTGTGGTTGTGTTGTTTATAGTTCTTCTTGTGGTGTTTACCTTGCCAGATTTTGTTGGATTCCTTGGTTTCTTATAGTCATTTCAATTTGTTGCTAGCTGAGGGAAGAGTGTTATCTTTGGTTCATAAATAAAATAAAATAAAATAAAAAAAACCTTTTTTGATACTCAGCAAAACCTGTACAGACATTTTAGGTTTAATTGTTTTCAAGTTGAGAATCTCTTTCACATTTTCTAGTGCCATTTTAAATATTTATTCTTCTGACACACTTTTAACATTTATTTTATTTGAATTGGCCAGCTGAAACTGTAATATACAGAATATTTTACTACGTGAATAGATCGGGTAATGGTCGTCTTACCCTCAGGGAGCTGAAACGTGGAAACTTAATTGCTGCAATGCAACATGCAGATGAAGAGGAAGACATCAACAAAGTTTTAAGGTAGTTTAATGGCCAAAAGTGGAGTGGCATAGCTGTTCTTGGTGTCACTTCTGTGATTCGAGACTTATAAATTTGGTTTATATAAGTTCTCTCTCTCTCTCTCTTTTTGTTTCTTTTTTTTTTTTTTTTGGTGGGAGGGGGGGGGGGGGGTGGGGATGGGTTGGGGTGTTTATGTTTGGCTGATGGCAAGGCTTCTAACTTGTCCTTACTTTCCAAGCGCACATGAGGTGGTCTAATGTGGTCTTTCTGAGAATCTTGGTGCCACTTAATCACATAATCTCACTTCTATATTTTCCTCACAGCAGTTTAAACATATTGTATCCATGTCATTGTCACCCAGCGCTTTTTTTAAGGTTCCCTAAATGGAAAATTGTACATTTGTTTCATCCTTTTAGAATGTGTAATTTTCCTTTTAATGCATGCTTGTTTGGTGTTACAATATAATTGCTGTTCTTGCTTATTATTTTCTTTTCTATTGCATAGATACTTCTCTTATGAACACTTCTACGTCATATACTGCAAGTTTTGGGAACTGGATACGGATCATGATTTCTTGATTGATAAAGAGAACCTTATCAGATATGGTAACCATGCGCTTACCTACAGGATCGTTGATAGAATATTTTCCCAGGTTTGTATGATTCAGATGATATTTTTGTGCTCTGATAAAACATTCTTTGTGCAAAAATAAATTCTATGTTCAGCGGTGCTTCATCTATTCTTATCCTTATCATTTTTAATGCGTCAATATCATCTTAGGTCCCAAGAAAGTTTACTAGTAAGGTTGAGGGCAAGATGGGATATGAAGATTTTGTTTACTTCATACTATCAGAAGAGGATAAATCATCTGAGCCTAGTCTTGAGTACTGGTATGTTTACCTTTATGCAACAATGTAAGAATGTTGTAATAATCTTCTTGCACTGTTGACTCTGGTAGTTTGGTGAATCATTGCAAAATGTATAATTCTTGAGATAAATTGGAAGGAAACATGAAGTCTGAGGAAATATAAATGATTAGCCTATCACAATCCTTTTGACTGTTTATGTTTGGGTAGAATTTTGCAGGTGAGCATTACCTGATATGAAATTTAAATGGGATCTTCCAATAGATACAGACATAAGTCATGACATGACGTGCATACTCATGTTCTGACTTTTAAATTAGGAATGGACACTAACATGGAACACGCACAAACATACATATATGTGTAGATAGATAGATATGTACATATATGGGTTATTTATAAAAAAAGAAAAAAGAAAAAGATATGTACATATATGGGTATGTACGCGTGTGCATGCGCCTCATTTCCTCCTCTCACCACACTTCTTGGATAAAGAATGTGTTGTATGTCTTTTTATATGATTAGCCTTACATTACTTTTAAACCTTTTTTTTAAAAAAAAAATTCCTTAAAGTTTATGCTGAGTTTCTTATTCTAAATTTTTTTTGTATCCTGACAGAGACGTGTTAAATGTTGGAGGTGCGAGCTAGCTTAGCTAATGAATTTTTTTTTAGGGGATCCTCATTACATAAAAATCACTATTGCACCCAAAAAAATCTCCAAAATGGCATATTTAAATTTTATATTCAATAATTATACATCCTAGATAAGCTGTAATATTATCTTCAGTATAAGGGTAGATTAGTATATTTAATCTTTGTTTTCCTACTTACGATTTAGTTCTCGGTATATATATTTAGTGCTTGTAATTTTCATATGGTTAATGCAAAGCATTGTTTCACTTTTCTCACATGGATTAGAGCCAGAACCTTAGCACCGCTGTCCCTTCATGGTCTCGTTTGTCTAATGTGGGGTTTGCGATTGGGTCACGCTATCTTCCCTCCCCTCTGGTTCATGACATCGTGATCGATGTCTTCTCTATCCCATGACTTCATGAGCTCTTGCATCATGATCTTGTTTGCACCTAGTTCACAACGTCTTCTCGTTTGCTTCTACTTTGCGACCTCTTGCATTGTGATCTTGGCTTCTCTAGTTTGTGAAGGTATCGAAGCCCTAGCACTAGTGCATCATGATCTCACCTTCTCTGATCTCGCGATCTCGTCTTCTCTGGTTTGTGAAGGTATTGAAACCCTAGCGGTAGCTTCTCTTTTACTTCACGTGAGATTTGGGATTGAGGCACGACTGAGTTACTGATATTTGAGTTTGGGTCTAGATTTGTTTATTGAAACCCCCAACAATATTTTGGTTTGTCTAGTTCTCACTCTATTATGATTTGTAGCTAAGATTGAAACCATGTTTGGTGATAAACTGCAAGCCATAAGCGTTTGATTGAACGGTAGAAATTATTCATATTGGTCCAATGTATTTGAAAATTTTCTTCTTGGAAATGACCAATGGGGCTATGCAACCGGCTCCACATATAAACCCACATATTCTAAGGTTGAGGATTATCAGCATTCACACATGGGATAGGGAGAATGCCCAAGTCCTCACTTGGTTGCATAATTTACAACATTTTATTTAAGAATAGTCTACAATACACAATGTATATGTGTCTATAATGCGTCCCTGTTCTTGTACCCAACTTTTGGATTCATAT